TGAAACCCCATCTCTACCAAAAACACAAAATAATAATAATGATGATGATGATAATAATAATAATAATAACCAGGCGTGGGGACTTGTGCCTGTAGTTCCAGCTACTTGAGAGGCTGAGGTAGGAGGATCACTTGAACCCAGGAGGGGCAGGTTGCATGAGCCTTGGAGGCCAGCCTTGAAAACCCACGGAAATCCTATCTATGAATAATAAGTCCTACACCCATATGGGCCCTGATGCTGGTTTCAAACAGCCATGTTTCCCTGCCCTCTTTATACTGACATTTTTCTTTAAGTTTTTTTTTTTTATTATTTCAAACAAGCAAGTCCTAGTAACATGATAGAAACTTTTTTTTTTACTGTTTTCATCCATGCCTGAAATTTAGTCTACACACACACATACACACACACACACAAATGCACCCTCACAAAGAGCACATTCTTTACTTCTTTTCAAGTCCAAAGCCTGTAAGAAGAGTTTTCTGTCGAAGGTCAGCAGCTCTGATTGTATTGCTTTATTTAGAGCATAGTTTTTGCTGAAACTCATTCCATTACCTTTGAGCTCACGGAAGTGGAGCCCATTAGAAGAATCGGCAGTCAAGAGGCTCTCATACAGGGTTAGAGAGTGATGCTAAACTTAGGTTCATTTGGCTACTGCGGTTTATTGACAGGGGCCTCTCTTTTTCTCTCTCTCCTTTTAATGGAGCCTGCATTTTCCTGTTTTGCAGCCGCCAACCTGTTCATGGTGGGAAGAAAGGAAACTTCTTATCTCTACTCCTAAACTCCCTACTCCTCCAGCAAGTGGCCTACTTCCCATTGCCCTAGTATGGCTAATCGACACCCACGTCCAGGCCTCAGGCTGGCATAGGCAGGAGTACAGAATAGGCAGTTCTGTGTCCCTGGTCCCGGTGGAGTGGGTTTACGGACCTGACCATTGCCCTGTCTCTTGGCTTCCGACCTGTGTACTGTGTCTTGACTGCCAGAGTCCTAGTATCTGTGGAGGCAGCCACTCCCCCACCTGGCCCCTGCTTTCCACCCCACTGGCTTTGTGCCCTGGGGTGGGCGTCATGTGCTTCCTGGTCTACAAAATGGGGGTGATAACACCCACAACGCCTATACAGGTGTGCTTACCCTTAAAAAGTACAGTTACAGGCCAGGTGTAGTGGCTAATGCCTGCAATCCCTTGGGAGGCTAAGGTGGGAGGATTGCTTGAGCTCAGAAGTTTGAGACCAACCTGGGCAACATGGCGAAATCCCGTCTCTACCAAAAATACAAAAAAAAGAATTAACAAGGCATGGGGACGTGTGCCTGTCGTTCCAGCTACTTGGGAGGCTAAGGCAGGAGGATCACTTGAACCCAGGAATGGGAGGCTGAAGTGAGCTAACATCAAGCCACTGTACTTCAGCTTGGGTGACAGAGCAAGACTCTGTCTCAAAAAAAAATTATATTGTAAGGTGTCATGAAACATTTGGACCATGCCTACGTTGACATTGTGAAGGGCATGCCCTCGGAGTCAGCTGGCAGTGGGGGTCAGGGTGAATTAATCCAACTGTTCCCAAGGGCAATTTGTCAGTATTTGTGAAAACAAAAACTGTAATTTATCTTTTGAACCATGGTTCAAATGGAATTTGTGCAATGAAAATACTAAAGACTACATATGGGGAATTTTTTTGTGACATTCCTTAGAGTAGTTAAATCCCAAAACCATCTAAATGTCCACTTTCCTCTCTAACACAGCTATTCTATGGTATACTATGTACCCACTAAAAAAGATTGAGATTATGATCCATGGACTGATAAGAAATGATCTTCAAGAAATATTTGCATGTGTGTGAAAAAGGGTACAAAACAGTATGTATGCGATCTTATCTTTATGTTTAAAAATAGGATGTAATTTTGTATGTGTGTGTGTGCTGAGAATTTTTCTGGAAAAAGAAAGAGTAGAAAACAGAGAATTTTTTTCCAGGGAGGGAGGACAGAGGTGGAGGGAGAATTATTTTTCACTGTATGCTCTTGCACTTGAAATTTTTATGCGTTTGTATAATGTAAACACAATTTTGGAATATAAAAAATATGTAAGCTACTTCCATTCTAATTACTGGCAGGTTTTTATTTCTAGAATGCTTCTATGTCACAGAGAGTAGCTCTGAGAATGACCTTTGAAGAATGGGAAGATGACACAGGCTTCAGAGAACCAAAGTAGGATGTGGGCTCCACAGAGTCAGTGACACTTGTTACCTCTGGAGGCTGCCAGTAGTCTTAAGCCCAGGAAAGGCAGTCTCCCCAGCCCCTGTCACTGCTACCTGTAGCCACATCTAGCCCCCAGCACCTCCTCCTCAGGCCCCCATCTCTGGAGGGGCCATCACTCATAATTCACTGGCTGCCAGGCTCAGTGCTAACTAAGCACTTCAGGTATGTTAGGATGAAGGTCTTTGCCTCTCACCTGCCTGCACCTCACAGCTAGCACCGTGGTCCAGGCCACCACAGCTTCCTTGGAACTTCTTGCCCTTTTTGAGCCATTCACAGCCACCAGAGTGATCTTTCTAGGCCATAAGGCATAATGGTCATTGCCCTACTTAAAACCCTCCTAGCCTGTCACTGTTAGGATCCAATCCAAGCCCATTACAGTGGCTATGAGGCTGTCTTCCTTGCCTCTCCTACCTCTCCTCATGTGCTCTGCTCCAACTATACTGATTGTCCTGTTCCTGAAAGAGAACGAACACATTCCTGCACCAGGACCCCTGCATTCGCTGTTCCCCGAGTATGACGCCTGTTCCCCAAGACCTTCCTGAGCTGTGTCTCATTGTTCAGTTCTCGGCTCAGTGTCACCTTTCAGAGAGGTCTCTCTGACTACTCCAGGTAAAGAGAAGTCTCCCTCCCCTGAATCCACCTATCCCTCCGTCCCACACCACCAGAATGCATTTTCTTCACGGCATTTGTTCGTCTTGGCAATTGCCTTGTTGATTTGTTTGGGCTCTGAGCCCTCTTCGTGGAATGTCAATGCACTGAGCACATGGGCCTTTTAGGTATTGATCACCGTGGAGCATGACGTCAGCACCACGGGTGTTTACTAAGTGAATGGATGCAGTACATGCATTGCAAGTGCCACATGTTGCTGGAATCTTTGCTGCTTACTCTCTGTGTGGCCTCAGGAACATCACATTTTCTGCAGCTGTGCAGTGGGGCAGGCTGGGAGTACCAGGGCAAAATAGAGAGCGGCTCCTGAATGGAGCTTTTTGTTTGTTCTAGAAGTCTACCATTCTGAAGAAGTTGTACGGAAACATGTACTCTGATTTTCCAGCTGGGTTGTTTTCTGCCCACCTTCCTGTTCTGGGAAGCAGGGCAAATTCCTGGGAGACTCTCCCTGGGGTGGGGGGCAGGGGGTGGCCTGGAAAATAGCCCAGTGCCTAGGGGGAAAGGGGGGGTGTAAATGCGGGAAAGGGGTGACTCTGGGAGAGTTGAACTGTCTCCTAAAAAAGAGTGTGGGAAGAAAGACTGGAACAAAGTACACAGATCTTAGGAAGGTTAGTGCAGCTGAAACCCTCCACACAATGCTTGATGCTCATGTCAACACAGAACATGTAAAGGAACAGTCGCCGTGATTATTATTAATTATTGCTATTACTGAACTGTGTCCATTTCTACAAAGGAACCAGACTGTCTCAAATTGTGTCTTTTCACAATTCTCTGCCTCATTTCAGCATCATAACAGTCCTTTGAGGCAGGTGCCCTTGTTATCCTGTTCATAGAATTGAGGAAACCCAGCCACGGAGAGGGTGTCTTGCTCAGGTTCACACATAGCTGCAGAGCTGGGATTCAAGTGCGGTTGGGCTCTTCCGGCTACAGTTTTGAAGTTTCTTGAAATTTCCCAGGATTCTTTATTTTTGTTAGGCAATGCCTGTTTCCTTGAGGTTCCCAGCAGTTAAAACAACCATTAAGAAATGAAAGGAGACCGCAGACTTGGTTAGGAGGGAACAGGGCTGGGAAGAAGTAGGGGCACCCTTGCCTGGCACTCCAGGAGAATCTGACCCCACAGGGGGCTACCTGGGAAGGTACAGAACCAGGGCCAAATCCTGAGGACCTGTCTTCAGCTATGAGGCCAAGTGGCTACATCTCCCTTCTGGCCTGAGAGGCTATAGAGGGGCAGTGACCCTGTGGATGGGTCTCAGCAACAGCAGAGGAAACACAGCTCCCGCTCGGGCCCTATCCTCACCCTCAGGGTTGGGGCTTGGCCTCAAATCCTGATCTTCCAAGGGCCAAGCCACCATGAGCGAAAGCAACAGGTATAAAGAATGCCTGACTCAGAACGGAACCTGGAGCCACCTGCCCAAGATTCCTGGGGCGGGGACCTGTCTCTTGCCCTGCCACTGTGGGGATGACATCCTCCACCCTCACTCTCTCTCCTCCCCAGAATGGCACCTACGGTGTCACCATTACCACAAGTGTTTTGGGGTGGGCACTTGGGGTCAAGCCCCTTGCTCAAAGGATGACATGAAGTCTCCAATACATTTGTGGGCCTTTATCTACTCAAGGGTGTGTGGGGGTGAATTAGCTGTTCCAGGGATGTGTTCCAGGGGCTGCAAGGAGGTGGGGAAGGCACAAAAAGAAGCAAGGATGGAACTGGAGAAAGGGTCCCAGCATGGCCTGGGATCAGGACCTCGAGAACGCGTGGGGAAGCCTGGAGGGGAAGCCTGGAGGGAAAGCGGAACTGATCAGGTGCATTTCAATTAGGCCATGATATTTTAGGCAACACCTCTGCTGGAAAGGTGGTTGCCTGCAAAACCGGATGAAGGCAGTGCTGTCAGGGTTTGGCGCTCTTTGAACAGCCACCTGGGGTCTGCACGTGTATTCTGCCTCCACCCACCCCCCGCTCAAACCCCCTTCCTAGCACCTCCCTCTCTGCAAGGTTCCGGAGTGGCCACCCACAGAGCAGCTCTGGGCTGGGTGCTGAGTCATGAGGCTGTGGTGCCTGCCAGGGGGCGAGGGTGGCAGATGGCTTTATGTGGGCGTGAGTGAGGAGGGGGGCAGATGGGAGGGGCAGTGACCCTGGGCCCAGCAGATATCCAGGGAAGTGGCCTGGGAGGTAGGTCCCCAACTCTTCCTTTCCCGTGTCTTCACTGCCGTTTTCCAGGGATGCCTGTTCCTGCTGGGGTAGCCAGCTGTGATCAGGTCAGGGTGGAAAGTGACCCCTGGGAGACCTGAGGCCTGAGGCCCTGGGCTTCCGCTTGACCTGGCTGGGTCGGCCGTGGGAGGCAGAGCCTGGCTCTGTTTATCCAGGCCGGACACTTCCGGAGCAGATGGGCGCCTGTCAGAGCCGCCAGCCAGGAACTGGGCTGACGTCCTCTCATTGCCAAGTGGCAGGTGACTCGCGGGCCTGGAGGGAACATGGGTTTGGTTTGCGTGTTTATTAGGGAACTCTCTCTCCGGGCTGGGAGCTGCCTGCACAACTGAGTGAGCACAGGGCAGACTCTTTGACCCAAAGGGGCCCGGCCCTTTCAGGCGCTGAATGCTGGGGACTCTGTGGGGGCTTCAGGGTCTCCCCAGAAGTCATGACTGAGCTCTGCTTTTTTGCCCCCCCTACCTTGGTATATGCATTTCCTGGGGCTCCTGTGACAAAGTACCACTAACCAAGTGAGTGGCTTTAAACAGAGATGTCTTCTCTCACAGTTCTGGGGCCAGCATTGAACTCAAGGTGTCAGCAAGGCTCCCGCCGGAGGTCCTGGTGGAGGGTCTGCTCCAGGCCGCGCTCCTGGCTTCTGGTGGTTGCCAGCAACCCTGTACGTTCCCTGCTTGTAGAGGTATCACTCCTGTGTCTGCCTCCATCTTCACATGGCGTTCTCCCCTCAGTGTCTTCTGCATCTATTCTCCTCTCTCTCTCTTTTTTTTTTTTTTTTTTAGATGGAGTCTCACTTCGTTGCCCAGGCTGGAGTGCAGTGGTGAAATCTCAGCTCACTGCAACCTCTGCCTCCCGGGTTCAAATGATTCTCCTGACTCGACCTCCCAAGTAGTTGGGACTACAGGCGCCCGCCACCATGCCCAGCTAATTTTTTTTTTTTTTTTTTTGAGATGGAGTCTTGCTCTGTTGCCCAGGCTGGAGTGCAGTGGTGTGAACTCAGCTCACTGCAAGCTCCACTTCCCGGGTTCACACCATTCTCCTGCCTCAGCCTCCCTAGTAGCTGGGACTACAGGCACCCACCACCATGGCTGGCTAATTTTGTGTGTGTGTATTTTTAGTAGAGATGGGGTTTCACCATATTAGCCAGGATGGTCTCGATCTCCTGACCTCATGATCTGCCTGCCTCAGCCTCCCAAAGTGCTGGGATTACAGGTATGAGCCACCGCGCCCAGCCTAAGTTTTTATATTTTTAGTAGAGATGAGGTTTCACCATGTTAGCCAGGATGGTCTCCATCTCCTGACCTCGTGATACGCCCACCTTGGCCCCCCAAAGTGCTGGGATTACAGGCATGAGCCTCCGTGCCCAGCCTCTCCTCTCTTCTTATAAGGACTACAGTCATACTGGATTAAAGGCCCACCCCACCCAGTATAACCTCAAATTAATCACATCTGCAATGCCCTATTTCCATATAAGGTCACATTCTGAGGTTTGGGGAAGGACATGAATGTTGGGGGGATACTGTTCCACCCAGGACACTTGGGTTGCCCATCTGCCTCACTCTTTCTCTCATCTTCAGCTTTTCCTCCCTCTTGCTCTGCCATTTAGAGAGAGGACGCCCTGTACCCAGGCCTGAGCTTTCAGGGAGGGGGAGGCCGCCATTTTCCCAAGAGCTAGCTGACTCCCAAGCATTCGACTGTAAATTAGAAAACCCATTAAGAGGCAATCAACGTACAGCTTGGTTTTCATCCTGTATAGAGTACCAGAGGCCTTTGGGAATCAAAAGGAAAGCTCTGAACTCCCACCCAGGGTAAATGTACATGCAAACACGCACAACTCTCAGTGGTGACACAGCCCTTCCGATGCCTGTTTGTCCTGGGACTCCAGAGAGGGCCTTCTCCGGGCCAAGGAATTTCTGTCTGGAGCAAAAGGAGGCCCCAGTGCCTCAGCGCTGTGCTGCCTGTGAGGTCAGGGGTTGCCACGCTGGGCGAGGACTGGGAAGGGTTTCCTTAAACCAGACCAGTGTCAGTGTGTGTGTGCAGTCACAGGGTAGGCATGGACAGCGGATGGTGGAGGTATTCAGGAAAAGGGTGGGGTGCTCTGCTGTGGTGTTAAAATGGTTTTTTTTCTTGCCTCTGTAGCCACCGCCCTCCAGATATTGTTGAAAAGAGGCCCAGAGAGAGCCTGATGCTGGATCTCCAGGCGTTTAAAGCAGAGGTTCTAAGACGTGTTATTAAAGGGAGGGAGGAGGGAGTTGCCCAACATAACCTCTTCCCATTATCCTCTTTATGTAAAGGCACCCAGACTCTGTCCTTCTGTGTGTACAAATAAATGTCACTAAAGATCCCGAAGGGTAAACATTAGGTATCAGTGGCTGCTTCTGGACAGGATCTAGCGTTGAGGGCATCAAGGAAGGACTTTTCCTTGTTGCTACCTCTGTGTTAGTGTGGCTTGAATGTTTCCAATGAAAGTGGATTCAAATGATAATTGTGTGTTAAATTAAAATCTTTTCAAAGAAAGGCTCTTGATGTTCTGGGAGTTTCAGATCCCTTCAAGAAGTTCCTGAAAACCACGGTCTATCTCTCCCCAGTGCACCTGCTCACCACAAGAATCCCCAGCCTGAGGGAGGGGCAGACCCCTGGCCCGGAAGCAGACCAGCTCCTTCTTCCGGAGAAGCCCAGCTGCTGCCACCAGCCAGGCTGCTGGGATGCTCCTTTTCCCCTCTCCCCACTCCACATCCGGGCACCCAGAAAATTCTAGCTGAATTGTTCTCCCGACCAGTGGTTCCCAGACGGATGGCATCAGAATCATCTGGGGGCTGGTTGGAATGGCATGTTGGACCACCCCTTCACTTTTCTAAGATTTGCTTTTCTAATGAGGGTCCAGGTATCTGATATGATGGATCCTCCCACCTCACTTTGAGAACCACTGATCTAGGTAAAGGGCATTAACTGTGCCTTCCGAGGTTCACCTGGACTCTGGAGAGGGGTTCCAGCTGGGAACAAGGTTCATTCCTCTCCTGTGTGGAGGTGAGCAGAGGAGCATCCGTGGGAACCACCTGGGGATAGGGAAGAGGGAAAATCCTTCTCTTAGGAGTAAGGCTGATGAGATGCTTTGCACTGGAAGACTGCGATTGTCTCAATGAGAAGGTACCCGGGGGACCCCTCATCACCTCCCACTCCTCAGGGACTGGAGGGTTAAGAGGTGTGAGCAGGTCCTTCCAAGTCCCTCCCACCAGTTGTTTCCTGGGACTCTGAGCTCTGATCTGCTGTGCCCCCTCAGCCTCTCCTCACCCCTTACCATTTTTTTTTTTTTCTTAGAGACAGGGTCTCACTCTGTTGCCCAAGCTGGAGTGCAGTGGTGTGATCACAGCTCACTGCAGCCTCAACCTCCTGGGCTCAGGTGATTCTCCCACCTCAGCCTCCTGCATAGCTGGAACTATAGGTGTGTGCAACCATGTCTGGCTAATTTTTTGTAATTTTGGTAGAGACAGAATTTCTTTTTTCTTTTTTAGAGATAGGGTTTTACCATGTTGCCCAGACTGGTCTTGAACTCCTGGACTCAAGAAATCTGCCTGCCTCAGCCTCCCAAAGTGCTGGGATTGCAGGTGTGAGCCACCACACCCGGCCCTTCTCCTCACCATTGAGATGGAGGCTGGGCTAGCAAGGCTGGGGCTGGAGGTTAGGAAGGCCGGGGAAGGACCCTCCAGTCCCTCAGCTTCCCCGTGACTGCTTTCCAACCTCTGTAGTTCTCAGGCATGCATACACAGTCTTACATCACTCTCACCTCAAGGGACTGGATTGAACAGACTAGGTGCCCCTGGCACCTGGCTCAGCAACTGGTGTGGAATTGGCACCCAGTAAATGTTTACCAAAGAAAAGAAAGGTGGAACTCCAAAGTGTGAAGGAAGGAAGGGTTTCTGCAGTACTTTTCCACTCCCTTCCCTTTCTGCATCTCGCCCTCCAGCAAATCCCAGTCCTGTGGGTTCAAAGGGATTCAGCTCTTTTTTTTTTCCCTACAGTAACTGTGTTCCACCCTGGGGGAATTTTCATCTCAACTGAGGACTCCCAGTGCAGGTGACTTAAACCCTGAGGATGCAATGTCAGGCCTCAGGGCAAGTGAAGTCGTGCAAGGCCAGGATCCAGGAGAGGCAGAGTTCTAGTCCGGCCCTCCACCCCCAACTCATGTCAGATCCACCCTGCAGCATGTGCCTTAGGCCTGTGCAGGTGTCATAAAGATGCAGGTCCCTGGGGGAGGGGAACTCACTTTGGAGGAGCCTTGTATGTGTGTGGTGCTTCTGTGAATGAGCTCAGCTGCTGTGTGCACCATCTTTGTCTGCCAGACTGCCCTAGGAGTGATGAAAGAGGGTCAAAATGCCAAATTCTTCCAGCAGCTTCTGAGATAAGAGTCCCTACCAAATTCAGGGGGTGGCAGAGGTAGCGAGTCTGGGCCTGAGAGAAAGAGAGGGAGCCTATCCATTAGAAAACTCATTGAGGAATCAGCCCGATCCTCCCTGTCCTCCAATTTCTTTCACTTGCTGGGGGGCAGATGGTGGTGGGGAGTGACTTGTGGAGGAGACAGGGACACCTGGAGCGGCTCTGAATCCCTGTTAACCCCTCAATGCCCAACTGCCAACAGTCACCAGGGACTTCTGATGAACAAATCCAATAATCCTTTCTCAGGCCTCTCTTCCTCCACCGCTGCAGATGTCTGCACTGGGGGAGTCCTTGCCTTCCTCTAATGATCGACAAGCACTTATGCAGTGCATGCTCTGTGCCAGGCACTGTGCCAGGCTCCTGGATACAAAGGGAATGAGTCCCAGCTCCTATTCAAGGAGCTGCCAGGGTGTGGAGAGAGCAAGGTGGCAACTAGCAGTTTCAGCACAGCACACTGTGAGTGCAGTGGCTGGAGAATTTTAGGAAGGAAGCAACTCCAAGAACTCCTCTCTTCCACATCCACCCTGGGCATTCTCTCTCTCTTCTCCCATTAGCTAATACCAGTTTATGTTTGTTGAGCTCTGGGAACTCAGATAAGAGCTTGATATGTGTTCTCCATCTTCACCACAACACAGCACAGGTATACACTGTGAACCCATTTCACAGGGAAGGAAACTGAGGGAGAGTGGCTCAGGAGCTTTCCCCAGGCCACACACATCTTCCGCCCCTTGAATGCCCTTCACGCCTAACTCTCCCATTGTGGCAAGATTCCTGCTCACCAAGGTTCTGACCTCCATTCTCTGTCCTCTTTCTGGTCACCCCTCCATGATATCATGTCCTCCCACACACTCAGCTGCCACCTCCTGTGTCTGGGTCAGAGGATCCTGCAGCCTCCAGACTTGCACACACACTTCCTGCCAGCCTGCTGAGCAGCTCCACGTGGGCACCCTGCCAGCACCTCAGCCCTGCTGTGTCCAAGCCCACCATCTCTTCCATACTTCTCTGTGACTATGCATGGTGCCCCCTGCTCCTGGTTACCCAGGTGCCAAGCTGTCTCTCTTCTGCCTCCATCTGGAACACAGCAGACAGAAGGTACAGTGGGAGACCACTCTGAATTCTTTTGGTTGCAAGTGACAGAAAAGTCCTATTCAGACTGCCTTGATCAATAACAGATTTTTTTGAGTAGAGCTAGGTTCAGACACAGCTAAATCCAGTGGTTCAAATGGTTCTATCTACTCTTGGTCTTTTAGCTCACCTTATATTGGTTTCAGGTTTAGTTCCCACAGGATGGCAGAATGGCCATCAGTTCATACCCTCTTAAGGATAAGCAGAAGAGACCGCCCTTCTTTTCCTGGTAAATCCTACACAAGTCCCAGGACTTGCCCTGTCTGCACCAACTAGAGTCTTGGGACCGGTTACTGAGGTTAGAAGGATTCAGTTCTCTGATTGGCCAGGCTGGGTCATGGGCTTCACCAGAACCAAATGGACAGAGAGTAGGAATGCTAATAAAGGCTTAAAGATATCCAAGGGCTCCATGAGATATATCCCTTCCGTGCTTGAGGGTGCTGGGGAAGGAGAGAAGAGGCCCGATTTGTCCTGATGATATTTGTGACCATTACTAGGTGAGATACATATCCAGAAGCTCTAAAGGTTGAACCTTAGAATCTACAGTTAAGACAGAGTGGGGTTTGAGCCTCAATTCCACTAATGTGTTAGTCAGGTTAAGCTAGTAGACTTGTGGTGATAGACAACCCTAAAAATTGTGATTAACACAGTAACCATTTATTTCTCCCCCATGCCACATGCCCCATGCAGGACAGTGGGGGCTCTGCTCCACACGGTCACTTAGGGATCTAGGTGGTTGGAGGCACCATTATCGTGCAACTGCACTGCCTGCACATCTCCACAGGTTCCATGCCAGGGGGCAGAAAAGACTGGAGAATTGTGCCTGGAGACTTTTCACTGCCTCAATTTGGAAGTGACAGACATTATTTCTGTTCATATTTCATTGGCTAGAACTAGTCATAGCCCAGCCTCCCAGGAAATGGGTAGGTATGAAGGAAAGCATATGGAATAGTCAAAGAAAATTATCACTGCTGCCACACTCATTCACTAGCTGTGTGTCTGTGGCAAGATACTTAACCTCTCTGTGTCTTCATTTCCCCATCTGTTTTTGTTTTTATGGACAGAGTCTTGCTCTGTCATCCAGGCTGGAATGCACTGGCATGATTGTAGCTTACTGCAGCCTCAACCTCCTGGGCTCAAGTGATCCCCCTACCCTAGCCTTCTGAGTAGCTAGGGCTACTAGCCTTGTTAATTTTTTTTGTTTTTTGAAGGGCTGTCTCACTATGTTGCCCAGGCTGGCCTCAAATTCCTGGCTTCAAGTGATCCTCCTGCCTAGGCTTCCCAAAGTGCTGGGATTACAGGCATGAACCACTTTGCCTGCACTCAGTTTCCCCTTTTTTGTTTGTTTTTGTTTTGAGATGAAGTTTCACTTTTGTTTCTCAGGCTAGAGTGCAGTGGTGCAATCTCGGCTCACTGTAACCTCCACCTCCTGGGTTCAAGCAATTCTCCTGCCTCAGCCTCTCGAGTAGCCAGGATTACAGGCATCTGCCTCCACGCCTGGCTAATTTTATATATTTTAGTAGAGATAGGGTTTGACCATGTTGGCCAGGCTGGTCTCGAACTTTTGACTTCAGGTGATCCACCCGCCTCGGCCTCCCAAAGTGCTGGGATTACAGGCCTGAGCCACCGCGTTCGATCCCCATCTGTTAACGGAGGATTACAATAGTTTTTTTTAAAAATATTTTCTTTTTAAAAAAATGTAAATCTTTTTTGTGGGTACACAATAGCTGTATACATTTATGGGGTACATGAGATCTTTTGATACAGGCATGTAATGTGAAATAAGCACACCATGGGGCATGGGGGTGTCTATCCCCTCAAGCATTTACCCTTTGAGTTACAAACAATCCAGCTATATTCTTTAAGTTATTTTAAAATGTACAATTAAGTTATTATTGACTATAGTCACCCTCTTGTGCTATCAAGTTGTAGGTTTTATTCACTTTTTTTGTAGCATTAACCATCTCCAACTTCCCTCAGTCTCCCACTATCCTTCCCAACCTCCAGTAACCACCTTTCTACTCTCTGGGTCCATGAGTTCAATCATTTTGATTCAAATTTAAATTTTTTTTTTTCTTGCCCCACCTAATGCCATCACGGTTTGATTTTTAGATCCCACAAGTAACTGAGAACGTGATGTTTGTCTTCTGTGCCTAGCTTATTTCACTTAACATAATGATCTCCAGTTCCATTCATGTTGTTGCAAATGACTGGATCTTATTCTTATTTAATAGCTG